TGTTTACTTCTAAAATGGGGGAACTTCCTGTGGGGACCAGCACTTGAGCCCTGTGGTTGAGCTAAATTGCTGCTTTGCTGCTGATTCCCTAAGGAAGGTATTTTGTGCAGTTCAGGTTTTAATGGTTGACTTTATAGGTACTTCTGGGTCTCATGAGATCTGGTGCACCTGGGTTGTGTGGAAACTCTGGTGTGGGCCTGAGTCTTTTCAGCAAACTGCACCCCCTGCAGTTCTATATTCCTGACCAGTCTCCACTGAGTGGTCCTGTACTGACTAGGGGGGCAGATCATCTGTTCTTGCTGCATCCTAGTATTCCCCCAGTGGGCCTGTGTCCCCCACTGCCCACACTCCAAACACTTCCCACAGGGCAGACTGTACTCTGGTCCCTTGCAGTGACTCACCGGTCCTTTTTTCAGTTGTTGTAGCTCTTCGCTCCTATGTGGGTCCACAGGAACCCTATTAGTGGTCTTGCTGGCCTGGGGGCCACCAAACCCTCTTCTCCCCTGCCACCTCCAAGCAACTTCATCTGAAGGGCACAGCAGCAGTTTTTGCCAGCTCCTGCTCTGTGTGCTCAGCAGCTCCAGCCTGGATGTGGCCAGGGCTCAAAACAGTCAGAGTGGTTTTTCTTTCTGTCATCGTGGCTTCTCCTGCCTTCATGTACACCGTAGGTCTCTCCTCCTCTTCCCCTGAGCTCTAGTAGGCCCCATCTTGGCTGTCATTGCTTTTTAATAGTTGTAAATTGGTTGATTTGTGGGAGAGAGTTACACTGGGGACTGCCTATTCCACTATCCTGACCGGAAGCCTGGAAATAACTTTTAAGGATGAGCAAGGAGAAGAGGAACTCACAATACAGACTGAGAATTGGTGGTCTGAAAAGCAGCAGAACTGAGAGAGAGTGCTGCAATGAAAGCAAAGAAAGCAGAGAGCTCTAATGATAAGGAAGTAACTAACCATGTAAAAATGCAACAAAAGGGTTCAAGAACAGTGTGATGGAATTGATTTATTTTTTATTTTGTGGGGAGGAAAAATGAAGAGGTCACAACAAAGGAAGTCAAGAATAAGACTGTTTCCAGTGGATGTTTTACGTAAGTGCTGACATTCCCTAAGGTGATGTTGGAAGCTGGGCAAGGGGAAGACTGTGAGCCAGGCGCTGAAGGCCTTGATGCGTACAGAGTNGAGTATCCTAGGATTCACAAATTTTCTTATAAAGAGTTCTTTAATTTCTTTCTGGGCTGAGCCCATGGTGCACTCGGGAGAGTGCGGCGCTGGGAGTGCAGCAGCGCTCCTGCCGCGGGTTCGGATCCTATATAGGGATGGCCGGTGAAGAGCTCACTGGCTGAGCGCGGTGCGGCTGGTCACAAAAAGGACAAAAAAAAAAAGAGTTCTTTAATTTCTTTCTAAGTGGCTTAAAATCTACTTTGTAAAGTCAGGTAGAGGACAAAATGACATTTTGTTTCTTTCCTTGTCCTTGACTTTTTATTTTTATGTGAACACAGGCACATACCTCTTCTTCTCTTAACCAAAACTCAACCCTTCAGGCAGATCTACTCACGGAAAAAGGTGTCCGCAGATTTGCCAACTGGACTACTCTTTCAGATGCATTGAAATTCACTTTCAACGTTCACTTTCAACTTTTGTGCTCAGGTAGAACCACCCATCACATTGACTTGTTGATGTCAAGATGTCTGAGGGCGAACCAGGTAGAAGCGTTCAATTGCTAGAGGGAAATAAGGATCTAATCTTGGAGGCTTGGTAGGACTAAATACATATATATATTTGGGAGTTAACCAAATAGTGATGGTGCTTCAAAGTTTAAGAGTAGAAGAGTTCCCAATGGGAAACAGTGAGAATGAGAAAACAATGGGCCATAAAGACAATGCTGGGGAATAACATTTTTTTAAAAGTTTATTTATTTATTAATATTATTATTATTATTACCTTCTATGATGTTGTTGTGGAGCAGTAGGGGGTGAGGGAGAGAGTGGAAAGGGGAAGGAAACAAGGTGGGAGAAGGAGGAAGGAGGAGGGGCAGGGTTGAGGCCTGTGGCACCCCCCTCATTCCTGCAGGGGAGACTAGGGGCTTGCAGCAGTGTCTTGGTCATTGCTGAGCTGGCTACAGATGTCAGAGGGGTGTGGTTGCAGCACTTGCCCCACCACCACCACCTCAGCTCAGGGGC